TAGGGCGGGCCTAGGTTGTGTGAGACAGAGGATGTGATGAGCTTGTTTTAGTTTTTTTGTTCGGATACATGCTCCATCAACGGAGAATAATTGATTAGGGTTGGTAGGGTTGATACAGGTTGAGTTCTCACTGTTTCTTTCCCTTACTCTTTCTACGCTAAATGAACGCTTTACGCGACCAGGGACAGTTGGTCCACCGCCAACAAAAGCACATGGAGAAAGGTTCAAAAGAACAAGGGGAATGCTCAACGCATGATCGCGGAGACATTCGAATCGCAAACCAACGAACGATGATAGTTGAAAGTTCCCGAAATTGAGCACACGCGATTGTCCTGCTACCCGTACTACAAGTACTCCTAAATTGTGTAAGTAACATACGGGTATCGTAGGTACCAGTACTGGCATGTGTCATAATTTTAGACCCCTGCGTACGTACCGGTGCTTGCCTTGGTATATGACGGCTTGTAGAAGTACGAGTATGAGTAAAGGTACGCAAGATACTACGGCACTGGTATTCACGATCGATATCCGATCCCCTTAAAAATACAGTAAGAATGACAGGTAACGGTACAGGTGGTACGTGAGTTGGTTGACCCCTGGGTTGTACACCCTTGTCGGACCATTTGGACTCTCCTAACCTACCAGTACCGTACTACACATTATACGAGTACAGTAATACGTAAAGTAAAGTACAGGAAGTACTGTACCGGTAGGGCGCAGCTCATGTCGCACCACATCGCGGCCCGTTGCTGCGGTTCTGAACTACTGTACTGTACGTAGTATTATGTTGCTCCAGTACTACTAATTACGAAGTACAAAGAAAGGAGTGAAAATATATTTAGTAAAGAACTGGCGCGGACGTCTTGTCCCGTCATGGCTGTCGGTTGAGAAAAAATAGAACTGGTGTTGTACGTTACTGCACGATTCTCGTACTAACTCTACGTTACTTTGAAAAACATCATACATACCGGTACCGCATCGCATGTTACCTGCTGATAAATGTAATTACGAGTATGTATGGTACGGTACCGTACTGTAGGGGTCAGACCATCGTGCAATACGATACAGTATTGTATGACCTACAGCGATTTTAGACCAGAGCCCCGTACGTACCGGCCGGTACRTTATTTACCAACGGTACGATTTCAATTATTTCAATTCAACCATCCTATTTTGGTACGAGTACGAGTTCTACTTCCAACGTTACGTACTCCTGCTACTACTCGTACACGAAAATCTTTTATTCACGTTTTCCAGCTACGGTTAGCAGTGATACAGTGATACGGTTCGTACCATTTATTCAGGGGCGGGCAATCGAYTTTGATTTTGTAAAAAGGGTTTCGCACTTTCAAGAAGACCGAATAGCAGATAATTATTGCTAGGACACGGCACCAAACAATACTACTGTGCATATTGACCATTCGGATCTACCGACCGGTTGGTATTTCATTTAGGCTACAAGCACCCGTCCATTTGATAGCAAGAGCACAACTGCCTTGATTCCCGTCCGATCGCAAAACTCGTCTTACGTTAGTGACAGCGCGAGTATTTTTCGCATACAATATCGCCCCAATCCWCCTTCCTTCATTCGACACAGCAACCATTCCTGTCCGACGAAGCCGAGTTGTTGACGACGACAGCAATAATTCCTACCGTCCATCAGGAGGAGGAATCGAAGGGTCGGTATCCGCATCCTTTGTTCCGCTCGCGAAGGTAACACGTCAACACCATAGGCAACAGCAGCAGGAACTGCAGCTGGAACAGCAACATCAAGAAGACCAAGGAATCGACGGTTTTTCGGACTCTCCCGGCCGAAACAAAAGACGACTCGCCAAAGGCTGGAGGCGTCTTCTGTTTGACAGCAACCAAGGTTTCCTTTTCGCTTCCTTTTGCTCGTTGCGAAAAAACAATAACGACAACAACGCGACAACAAACGCAACCACYATGACGGACGAACTGTCCAAAATCGAAACGAGTCATCGCCGTTTGCCGAATGACAGCATTGAAAACGACGACGACGAATATGGAGGAATCGATGCMTTTGACGACGAGCACGGGTCGACCCTGCGGACCGCGGCAACGACTTCGAGAAAAGGCTTCTGTGGAGTTTGCGCCGACCTGCTGTCCGACCTTTGGAATTCCTCGGGCCTCGTGCTCAACCACAAGCTGAACCTTCTGCTATTCGCGGGGCCGTTGGCTCTGCTAGGGGACGCGATGGGGATGTTGGGGGAAACCGCGTGTTTTGCCCTGTCGGGGATCGCCCTGATCCCCTGTGCGGAACGGTGCGTGCACGGAATATTTGAGAGCACTCGGGTTTGGAGGTCCCAATATTGTGGGTGTGGAATTTTTCTCATACATCATCGTTTTTGCCTTTCTCTCTATGAACTATAATGTGATGGGATATAATATMATATCATATCATGCAATGCAATGCTCRCCTGCTACTGTTACATTCTGGGTGCACCACGAACCAACTACTACAACTTGTTTCACGCAACAATACTCAYTTGTGACAATGGCCACGACTGCGGGAAAATAATACGGCAAAACTGTTGATAATCCAATGGTAATTTCTGGTCCACCATTTCCGCYCAGCCTCTCGTTCGTGACRGAACAGGTSGCAATGCACACCAACGGGACCATTGGGGCCCTTCTCAACGCAACATTTGGAAACGCACCCGAATTGCTCATTGCCTCGGCAGCCCTGCGAAAGGGATTCTACCGGGTGGTCCAACTGGCCATGCTGGGAAGCATGCTGACCAACCTGCTCTTTGTYTTTGGAATTAGCTGCCTCATTGGTGGATTGCGATGGCAGGTGCAAGAGCTCCGAATCACCTCTGGAAACGTTAACGTCGGTATGCTGCTCTTGTCGACGGCGGGATCCCTCCTGCCGGCGACACTCGTTCTCGGGGGACAATTGAAGCACGGCTCCTCCAACGACGATGCGACCGACGATGATACAACGGAACAGCAGTCCTCCTTTGCAGACCCGAATGCGGTGCAGCCATCACTAGAAGAGCTACAGTTTTGTAGGATCAACGCGTCAGTACTAATCTTTATGTATGGCCTGTACCTCGTCTTTCAGCTGGGGACACACAAGGAAGAATTCGACGACGATGAGGGGGGCCACGAGCACGTCAACGGTACAGACCACCGTGAATATCACACGGCTGTGCATGGAAAGCCATCGAAACACCACGCCCGGAGGAACGTCTTTTGCGTATGGCTGTTGCAGAAAACAAAGTGTATGCTGAGCCGGAACGGCAACGACAACCGTGTCCGAATGAGTCCAAGCCRYCCCTCCGAAGAGGGTTGGATTCCCTCGTCGAGGGTCATCGCCACCGACCCTCGAAGCAGCRCCGCTGCCGGTGACGTGGAAATGATGTACCGGAACCACGCAACCAACAACAATAAGCACCTCAACCACCAACTACTAGGGATGATCCCGAACGAGCGAGAAGAACGAATACAAAAGAACCTCGACGACGGAGGCACCACGTCCTCCTCCGACGATGAATGCCTGCTGCCGCAGAACCACCACAAAATCACCGACGACGAYGATTCGTATTTTGACGAATACCGATTCGACGGGGGGCTTGCGAAAACGGAAACAAGTGGTGGCGGTGCCACCCGGTTGCGCCGCAACAGCCACGGTGCTATTGCGGGTCATCCCCATTCTGCAAGCACACCGAATCACCACCCATACATGGACCACGACACTGTGCCCAACGGTATMAATAGCAGCAACCACTCCAAGAAGAAAAAGAATGGTCGCTCCACKGGTGCACTCTTGCCCCTGGGACTTGCGGAGCCCTCCGAGACAATGCTCCCAACAGGTGAGAACGAAACAAAACGAAACGATTCGCGGCAGGTATTGTCAGTTGCAAAAATTGCTCTGCACTGCAGTGCCAAAAGCCAGCGACCGCCAACTCWACGCCCTATCCTCCTCCCACRGAGAAAGAATCATCCGCTCACKATTTTTTTCTTCCGATTGTCGTTCCTCAATGTTTTGTTGTAGCTCCCTCGCAGCCACCGCTCTTCGACGGAGACCACTCGACCACCAGYACGCAGCGCTCGGARGCGCAGATGTCCTTCCGCGTCGGCATCCTCTGGTTGTTGATCATCACTCTTGGAATCTCGGCCATGAGCGACATACTGGTGGACACCATCGACGGCTTTGCCCTCCGGCTGCACGTGAGCGAGGTCTTTACGTCGATGGTCATCGTGCCGTTCTTTTCGAACGTCGCCGAGCAGGTTTCCGCCATTCTCTTTGCGTACCGGAACGAGATGGACCTCTGCGTGGGCGTGACGGTTGGCAGCGCCATCCAGGTGGCGTCGTTTGTCCTCCCGGGGTGCGTCCTGATCGGATGGATGGTGGACCGGTCCATGACGCTGTACTTTCATGCCTACGAAACGGTGTGCCTGTTTCTGGCTGTGGTGGTAGTCGCCGCCGTCCTGCAGGGGGGAACCACCAACTGGCTGGTGGGGGCGACCTGCATTTCGGTCTACGTGATGATGGCGGCGGGATTCTGGTTTCATTCCCTGGAAGACCTGTCGGTCGACGCGGAGACCATCGGGCAGGACCCGAACGGGACGAGRCGGGCGACGGTGTTTGGGCTTCTTCCGTAGAAAGTGCGGCACGACCGCACTGCGYGTTGTYGTGAGTGCTGCGATTGGTTCGTGTTGTACCAAAACGCCCCGCCGCSGCCCCATCCATGCAAAGCGGACAGCAAGGCAATCGGRACGCTGTCGGCGACACCACCTACCGGACTCTGACTTCGGGACAGAGGACGTATACTGGTCTATCATCATCATTATCACCTTAATTCATCATTATCATACTGYATTATTCGTACAATACGGTTTGCTACTCGTAATACGAYTATTTCTTCAGTAAGAACTACAATCGYAATAATTACAGTACGGTACGATACTTCGACTTCCCACCGTCTCGCACAGATCCATAGTTATTTTTTCTCATAGGTTCGTATGTGCCATTACTATCATATGTATAATACATATGAGTACCCATACTCGTATACTCCGAATCGCATCGTAGGGAAGAGGGCAGGGCTTTGCGGCACTTACTTGCCAGTCGCAGGCAATGCTTGCTCCCCCACATAACGGAGTAGAAGTACGACGAGTACTAGTAGGATCGAACGTGCRAATTCGTTCGGCAACCGCACATTCGCCTAATTTAAGAAGTGGAATAATTCATGCCAATAATGGTACTCAGTCAGTTGTTGAACTTCCGAAGGTTCTGTCCATCCTTCGTCCGGTATCAAATATGACCATATGACCAGATTTACATCATACCGGTAGCATACATTACGTACTTGAAAAACACCAATTTATGTTCGCAACGTATAACTCTTAGCGGACGGCGGACGGCGGACGGAATTTTCATCCCGGATTATCTCAGATGCCGACGAAACATTGGATCTTGTAAACCCACTTTCGTTACGACTAAACCAAACCAGGAGAGGCAGTTTCGGCACCGAGTGAATTTTGAGCAGTACGATACTACCGTGTCCCACACGGTAGGGCACGGCATCAGCTCCCGCGTACATCCCGTCGCATCGGATGCCATGCCTGCCCCCCGTACGGTACGTGCGGTACGGGCAATCTGATGAGCAATCCTGTACCGTTTCGTAGCTCGCAATTTTCTTGGCTTCGCGACAACAATAGATTGTGTYGTTGTTCTTCCTCGAGCATCCCAAACAACACACCAGACCAATCCAAACCGAACCGAACCGTTCAASGAACCGCGAATCGAGATGAAGCTGCTCCGACSCAGCAGCAAGAAGACGGACACGGATGCCGCCGGGGTGGATCCGGAASGAAACGGCGACGACGATGCCGCCGAGGGTAGGAACGCCACCATCCAAAAAATGAAGAAGGGTTTGCTGCTGGGCAAGGACAGCCGCCTGTCCCGAAAGGAAAAGAAGGAAAAGAAGAAGAAAGAAAAGGCCGCCAAGAAGGCCGCCAAGAAAAAAGCGGCAGCGACCGGAGGTGCCACCCCTGGCAAGGCCCGGGCAGAATCCAAGTCCCGAGCGGAAGGCAGCGCGGAAGCCTCCACCCCGGCGACGGTGGGGAACGACGACGACGACTACGACTCGCAATCCTCGCCGCCCGGCTCTCCCGCGTACAAGGTCAACGTCCACGAACGCTACAGCGTCCGGGTYCACGAGCAGAGCGCAACCTCCACCACCGAGCAACTCGTGGTGTCGGAGCAGCTCACGGTCTCCGTCGTTCCCGTCCGAAAGGATGCGTCTCGTTTGGCCGAAGAAGGGGGCGGCGACGATTCCCTCGTTGGAAAGAACCTTCTCACGCAGCTGGACCTGGCGACGACCGGGGACGGCGGCGAGGAGGGAACCGAACTGATCCTACCGGGCAGCGGTGGCAGCATGGAATGCGAAAGCGAACTCGAAATTTCGATCGATTCTTTTCCAACGCCGGCGCAGCCCGCAGAAGAGTTCCGACAGCCCGAAGCGGCTCCCGCCGTTGCCGAACCCGAACYCGAGACTCCTTCCCCTAGCAGCAACGACGACCAACAAACCGCGGAAGATGAGGCCGTTGATGAAGGTCCCGAGCAGGACGAGAAGGAACCGCAAGAGGAGCCGAGCAACGATGGCTTAGAACAGGTGCAGGACGAAACGCAGGAGCAGGACGAAACGCAGGAGCAGGACGAAACGCAGGAGCAGGACGAAACGCAGGAGCAAGACGAAACACAGGAGCAGGACGAAACGCAGGAGCAAGACGAAACACAGGAGCAGGACGAAACACAGGAGCAAGACCAATCCTTCCCCACCGAGGGAATTCCGGAGGAACCCGAAATCACAATCGAGCCAGAACCCGAGCCCGAGGCCAAACCCGAACCCGAACCCGAACCCAAATCTGGGCCCGAATCCGAACCCGAAGGAAAGGACCACAACGAGAAAAGCGACAGCATGGTCGATCGGCTCCTTTCCAAGGCCAACACGACCGCTACCGACCTACGACAGCAGCTGGCCAAGCTCCCGGAATCCATGGGCGTGGCAGCCCTKACCGAGAACACGCTGTGCCACTCGGTGCTCCTCCAGCACTCGTCGTGCTACGGTGGGAGCGAGCACCACTATAAGAGCTACACCGGTGGAAACAACACGGCGAATGCGGTGGCGATGGACGACCAGGCGGCCTCKGAGTTTTTGCACGTGAGTRKTTTRGAGTTTGGTTCGCCGAGGGTTTGATCGATCGATTGTTCTCCCCGCGCTTTGTTCGTATTCGTATCTGTGTTTGTGCTCACCAATGCGAACRTATCTCACGCGGCGTGCATTTCCCACGCATGGTTWCTGGTTTGCTCTCCTCCTTCGCGCTTGCTCCCAATCAACATACAYCGAATCGAACCACCGAAAAAAACAGAACCTGGGAAACATCGGATACACACTMATATACCACAAACCAACCGGCGACGAAWCCATCGACGAAGACGACGAGAACGACGACGACGACTGCTGGGTGGGCCGGACCGTCACCCTAGTCTTTCGGCCRGGSGTTTGCACCCACCGCGATGACGGCCGCGACGCCTCCGTTCTCCCRCCGGCTCTGGAATGGAAGACCGTCGAGGGAGGAAAGTCCAGGTCCATCGAGACTCACACCCTCGACCTGTGGAGCATCGATGCTGTTGCCACCACGCATTCCGCTTCCAACCACGGCAACAAGAACAAAAACAAGAACAACACTAGCAACAGCAGCACCGCCAGCGTGAACAACAGCAGCATAGGCCAACAGTGGACCGAGTTTGCAAACAACAACGAAACCATTGCCTGGTACAAAAACACGCTGTCCGCGGCGCTCGGGGACAGCGGCTTYCAGGCCAGCGCAGAAACCAACAGCAGCATCTACGGCGGGGACGACGACCACGAATTCGACAACTGCTTCTTTTCCATAACAACCAGGGACGGAACCGTCCACCTCTTCGAGGCGCTTACCCCCGCCGATACCCTCGTTATTGTGGAGGGGATTCGGCGCAACGCGGCTMGTTTGTCCYGTCTCTTGATCGAGGGCAAGGACACCGACAAACTGCTTGCGGACTTTTTAGGTGGTTCCGCGTCGACKGCGGTGATGACGCCGGCCGAGGCCTTGGACCTTCTCTCGCACGCCTTTCTGGACCACGGTGGCGGTGGTTTGGAATAGAACCGAAAAGGTGTGGAGCGGTGAATGTCGTAGCAWAGAAGGGAACGGAATGGATTGTAGCGACGATTGCATATTGTTTGCGGTGTTGGCGCCTATTCCATCCAATCCAATCTAGTCGCGGCGTTTTCGGACKCGAACACTAGATGATACACCGTACAYTGCACAGCACTCTGCTATAATGGACGTCATACACACTATGCTGTGCCAACGGTGTGCWGCGCCTGTSGACTGCTCCTAGCTCTCTTTATCTTATATACCACTGCAATTGCTTGTGCTGTAACAATCGCATGCGATTGAAATGAATCGGAACGAACTGTTGGTTCCATAATTATGTTTTGTACCCTCCGTGCCACGAAAATGACATAAAATATCTCTGTATTTATATATTGCAAACATGCTTCATCTTAACAGCATGAGCTCTGGGCTATTGGTAATAGTAATACTAGCATTGCATTAATGATATTCGACACCACCAAAGTAACACGGTTTGTATTTGTTTGCGACACTCTACGAAAACGACCAAAGGTATTTCAGCACTAGYTATTTTTGTGGGATACGTCAGGGTGTTCGATTCATCTGTTCAATGGGGAGGTATCTAGTATTCAAGAGTAGACATCTCCATATGTCTGCAAGGAAGGTATATGATTAGGAAGAAGCCATCAACCAAATCTTATCAGGCTTTCAATGAAAAGTAGGCTACTAAGGTGTGAGTGTTTTTGGACTGTCCTCCACCTCTAGGYGTGGAGGAAGTGTATTGTTGTGGGTGAGTTCCTTTTTCAACATACAGAGGACCAATAGTAGCAAAGAACATGGATTGGCTATCATATTCCATAGGATTTGTACTAGAAAGCCACAGCAYTACAAGAAGACATGGAACCTCACTGTACTCTTTGCTGTTGATTCAGGGGATCTGCACCTTCCTCCAGGAGCTGGAGGGAGTATGGAAAATCCAAGGAGATGGATTGAGGTGATCAGAGCTGGAGGGACCTCAGCTTGGACCTTCTTTGCTCAATTTCTCAAGCATATCTGCAGTTATATTGAGCAACACCCAGCACCTGGGGATACAGATGCTCACAGAGTGTTCCTCTCCTGGGACAATTTAGAGGCTCATCTGACTTATGTAGTGACTCAAAAGGGTACAATGAGACAAGCTGAAGGAAGGACTCACTTTGTCACCAACCAAAATACAGTCCTATTTGTTGCAAGATCTGTGATCTAATTGGAGCTGTAAGCAAGATGGGCAGACCTAGCTTAACATCAACTGAGGACCTTGAATGGCATAGTATTATGATCAAGGGATTTTGCTCAATGATACTAGCTCTCTATGATACAACCTTTGACCACTGTGGGCACACTGTTGGTGGGGTCTACTATCAGCCCAGACAATATTACTACTACTAACACTACCATCAAGCAACAACAGTGATACTTTGGTTCTTGTCTCTGGAAAGTTCAGAGAGAAGTTGAAATACTACTACTAGACTGGAAGAAACCACTGAAGACTGGCTTGCTGGTTAGATGACTTGGCCTGGGGCTATGGTATTTGAATTCCATGAGAACATGTGGAATCAAGTTCCTTGGAGAGTTGACCCAAATGCACTTCATGGGTCGAAACAATGGCATGGCTTATATAACAAAGTATTCTTTGAAGGCTTGCTCTAGATTCCCTGAATTTTTGACTTTGAAGATGATGTTGTCCGTAGGATATCAGACCGTGGGTATGATTCATACATACGACACATACATACGATACGTATCTACGATTCATACACACCATACATATATGACTCACGCGATCCCACCACTGGATTCATATGATTGGCATGACTCATTTCATTCACTTGCGTGAGTGACTCGACTCATTCGATTCACACATCGCTCGATCCTCACAGCGATCCATTCTAGATTTCATAGTCAAAAAATGTAAGGGAAGATAGAGATTGTCCTGATCAGACCTTGATGGGATCAATGAATCAGAACTCATATGCACTACTTGCATTAGCATTATTTTTTGAGAAGTGGTATTATGATGGTCATGGAGCAATCAGTCAGTGGCTTTTTAGTACTGAAGGGACTAGTACTACCGATGTGAAATCACCAATGAAAATTATAAAAAGAGAGATTGAATGTCACAAGAAAAAATATTCTGGATTCCTAAGTAGACATGTTTGGAAGAATGGTGTATTTTGTAAAGAAAAGGGAGGCAGGTTGGTGGGGACGCACTCTGTAAGGACATTTTCTGTTTCAGTTTGTAGACATGCAGGAATGCTCAAGGATGATGTTAAATAGAGCCAGATGGAACAAAGGAAACTGCTAGCAACAAGATTGCTACACTGATCTGCAATTACTCTGGCCTGATATTTATGTTGCAAGTTGTCTATGTTTTGACAGTATCTGCCTTTATAACAAACCAATAGAGGGATCTGCTGGAATAACAGATGAGTGGATTACTACTAGTATTAAAAATGTTACTCTTATTATTGCAAGTGCATTCAGCAACAGGGTTGCTGTGATTCTATGAAAAGGCATTACTGTGGGCATGCTTTGAGTCTTCCCTGGTTGGTGTTGTTCTGGATGATATCAGAAGGAATGTGATGGCTTCATTTGTTCAGCTGAATGAAAGAGTC